ATGGGTATGTATATGTGCTTTCTTGAGCAGGGGGACCTTGCGGGCGCTGCAGCATTTCAGTCCTTCATGGCGTAGTGTGTTACCAATTGTTTTCTTGGTGACCATGGTCCCAGCTGCCTTGAGATCATTGACAAGATCCTCCCGTGTAGTTCTGGGCTGATTCCTCACCGTTCTCATTATCATTGCAACTCCACGAGGTGAGATCTTGCATGGAGCCCCAGGCCGAGGGAGATTGACAGTTCCTTTGTGTTCCTTCCATTTGCGAATAATCGCACCAACTGTTGTCACCTTCTCACCAAGCTGCTTGGCAATGGTCTTGTAGCCCATTCCAGCCTTGTGTAGGTCTACAATCTTGTCCCTGACATCCTTAGAGAGCTCTTTGGTCTTGGCCATGGTGGAGAGTTTGGAATCTGATTGATTGATTGTTTCTGTGGACAGGTGTCTTTTATGCAGGTAACAAGCTGAGATTAGGAGCACTCCCTTTAAGAGTGTGCTCCTAATCTCTGCTCGTTACCTGTATAAAGACACCTGGGAGCCAGAAATCTTTCTGATGGAGAGGGGGTCAAATACTTATTTCCCTCATTAAAATGAAAATCAATTACTAACATTTTTGACATACGTTTTTCTGGATTTTTGTTGTTGTTATTCTGTCTCTCACTGTTCAAATAAACCTACCATTAAAATTATAGACTGATAATTTCTTTGTCAGTGGGCAAACGTACAAAATCAGCAGGGGATCAAATACTTTTTTCCCTCACTGTACTGCTGCAGAGTCAGTAGATATGATTATAGAGTCTGCACATACTACTATAGAATCTGCAGATACTACCAAAGAGTCTGCAAATACTGCTATAGACTCAGAAGTTACTACTACAGAGTTTGTTATTACTATAGAGTTAAATTGTGATTTAAAGCTTTCGTGACTGCAGTAATTCATAAATATATTTTTATTTTGTTGTTTCCCTTCAACGTGACTTTACCGAAAGAACTAAGAATATGAATACTAAGGAGTTAGTTACTACTATAGTCAGTGGATACTACTACATAGTCAGTAGATACTACTACAGTCAGTATATACTGCTATAGAGTCGGTAGATACGACTATAGAGTCAGTAGATACTGCTATAGAGTCAGCAGATACTGCTATTGTCAGCAGATACTGCTGTTGTCAGCAGATACTGCTGTCGTCAGCAGATACTGCTGTCGTCAGCAGATACTACTGTAAAGTTAATAGTTACTAATAGTCAGTTGATACTACTTTTGAGTCAATATATACGACTATAGATTCAGTAGATACTACTATAGTCTTGATTTGAAGCTTTCGCGACTGCAGGAATCCATACTCTTTGATTATTTTGGTAAAGTCACGTCGGTATAAATTAATAGATCACAACGTTTCGATCGCAACACAAGCAACCGTCATCAGGTGAGACCAACACAGCAGGGAAAATGCTGATGAAGGAGAAAGAGTTGCTGCAATAAGAGATTATATAAGGTAAGAGGAAAGCTGCTGATGCAAGCTGCTTCTAAAGGGTAGAAATGAGCGTACCCCAAGAGTCATAAAGGACTGCTGCGTGTGAAACAAGGGGGAGAACGGCGGTAGGGGGAGAAGAACTCCCTCATCAAAACACGACATCATCTCCGACCAGCACCCCCTAGCCAGTGAGCTTGAGCACGCACACCAAGCCCTCAAGATGAATGGACATTCAAACCGTACAATCAGCAAAGCTGTATCCCCAACCATGGGGAGAGAACCATCTGAGGACCCAATCAAAACCACCATCACCTTGCCATAAATAGCAGGTGCTACCAAAAAGATTTCCAAAATCTTGAACACAAGATCCAGGTTCGATTTAACACAGTACACAAAATTCGTGATTTGATCCGATCTGTGAAGGATGTGATTCCTGACATGCAATACCGTGGTGTCAACAAACTAAGTTGTGTCTGCAACAAGTTACATCGGGGAAACGAAACGACATGCCTCGGACCGTGTTCGCGAACAGAAGGCATATTTGAAACACAGCAGAACCAATACCTCTGCCGTGGCTGATCACTGTTTTAACGTGGTGGGTTCACACGATATTGTTTTTTTCTGAGACCAAAGTACTCTGCAAACCTTCGGGCTACCACCAAAGATTTGTCCATGAAGCCATCCAGATATATAAACACAGAAACAATTTCAACCGAGAAGATGGGTACAAACTGAGCAATCATTGGAAGGACATTATTAACCGGTTTTAGGTCATAATTGGCTGTGATGTTTCCATTCTACCTTCCGATGCTGGCAGTTGTTTTCTAACAGGTTAAATGTCTCGCACTTACTCTCTCTCCCCCTGCCGCCGATCTCCCCCTTGTCGCACGCGCAGCCCCTTTCTTATCTATTCCCCACCCCCTCTCTCCCCCTGCCGCTGATCCCCCTTTGTCACACGTGCAGCCCCTTTCTTATCTATGCCCCACCCCCTCTCTATCCGACTGCCTCCGATCTCCCCCTTGTCTCACACGCAGCAGTCCTTTATGGCTCTTGGGGTACGCCCATTTCTACTCTTTCGAAGCAGCCTGCATCAAGCAGCTTTCCTCCTACCTTATATAACCTCTTGTTGCAGCAACTCTTTCTCCTTCATCAGCATTTGCCCTGCTGTGTTGGTCTCACCTGATGACGGTTGCTTGTGTTGCGATCGAAGCGTGGTGATCTATTATTTTCTACCTACGTGACTTTACTGAAAGAACCAAAGAGTATACTACTATAGTATTTAGATACTACTGTAGTCAGTATTTACTACTATAGAGGTGGTTGATACTACTGTAATGACAGGATGCCACCTGTCGACGTAGAGGGGTAATCGCGGGTATGGGCAAGTTATATAATGATGAACTAGAAGGGGGGCGTATCTGAGGTAAAGGTGAAGTCAGTCGGGAAGCTTCAGGAACCTGCTCGAAGGTTCTGGAAGGGGGCGTGGCTGGAGGCGGGGCTTGGCGACGCCGGGAGGTATATAAGGGGGACGGAACCAGAGGTACGGGGATGTTGTGGGTCCTGGCTGCATCGCTGCTCGCCGTCATCTCTCTTCGTCGTCCGGCCACGTGGCCGATACTCTGCACGGCTCTCATCATCGTCGTCGCTACGCTAGTCAGACAGCTGTGTAGTTAGACGCCGAGTTGTGTCGAAGGGTCGGCTATGTGTAGCCATGTAGATACGTTCTCTATAACGCCCAGTGTTGTGCCCAGTGTGAGAATAAATAAGAAGCTCTCTGCATGATGTGTCTCGGAAGTCAGTCACTACTACTAACTCTACTACTGTAGATTTAGTAGATACTACTATAGAGTCAGTAAATACTACTGTAGCATTAGTAGTGACTGCTATAGTCAGTGGATACTACTATAGAGTCAGTAGTTACTACTATAGAGTCAGTAGATACTAATATAGAGTCAGTAAATAATACTACAGTCAGTAGCTACCACTATAGTCAGTATATACTGCTACAGTCAGTAGCCCAAACTATAGAGTCAGTAGATACTGCTATAGGTATTGCAGATACTACAATAGAGTCAGCAAATACTACTATAGAATTAGTAGTTACTACTATAGTCAGTGGATACTACTATAGAGTCAATAGATACTATAGATTGTGTAGATACTACTATAGTCATTAGATACTACTGTAGAGTCAGTATTTCTAATATAGTTGGTTTGTACTACTATAAAGTTGGCAGATACGACTATTGAGTCGGTAGTTACTACTATAGAGTCAGGAGATGATATTACAGTCAGTAGATTCCACTATAGTCAGTATATATTGCTGTAGAGTCAGTAGATACCACTACGGTCAGTAAATACTGCTGTAGTCAGTAGATAATACTATACAGCCAGTAGATACTACTATAGAGCAGATACTACTGGAGAGTTAGTTACTACTATAGTCAGTGGAAACTACTATAGTCAGTAGTTACTACTATAGAGTCAGTAGATAATACTGCAGTCAGAAGATACCACTATAGTCAGTTTACTGCTGCAGAGTCAGTAGCTACGACTATAGGCAGTAGATACTACTATAGAGCCAAAATATACTACTCTAGATTCAGTAGGTACTACTATAGCCATTAGATACTACTGCAGAGTCAGTAGTTACTACTATTGAGTCAACAGATACTACTATAGTCAGTAGATACTGCTACAGAGTTAGTAGTTACTACTATAGTCAGTGGATACTACTATAGAGTCGATAGATACTACTGTAGGGTCAGGAGATACTACAGTTAGTAGTTACTACTGCAGTCAGTGGATTTTACTATACAGTCAGTAGCTACTACTGGGCTCAGTCGATACTACTGTACAGTCAGTAAATACAACGACAGAGTCAGTAGATAATACTATAGAGCTAGATACTACTGTAGAGTCAGTAAATACGAGAGTCAGTAGATACTACTGTAGAGTCAGTATATACTACTGTAGAGTCAGTAAATACTACTATAGAGCCAGTAGATACTACTAAAGAGCCAGATACTACTGTAGAGTCAGATACTACTATAGTCACTAGATACTACTCTCTTGTATGTAGGGTATGTAGGTATATATGCCTACGTGGGGTTAAAACTAATTTTGAGGGGGGGGGGGGGTCGTCAATTTTCGGAAACCTTTTAGATCAACTATTTACCCCCTACTTTCTATAACTTTTTTGACTTCTTATAATTTTGTTGACAGACAAATGGACAAACGGCACGCAGAGCTTTCACAATAGCTTCGTGTTTGTGTATGTATATGTTATGTTTTTAAGACAAATTTTGAAATAGATTTTTCCCCCGGGCAACGCGGGGTACTTCCCGCTAGTACATATATAAATTTGTTTTGATGCATACTTCACAAAAACAAACACAAAATCTATGTTGAAGCAGCAGAAACTTCAGAGCCTCATATACATTTGAGAACACTCATTTAAGTCACCCAGGAGAAATCACCTTTTAAACACGCATTCTCATGTATACAGTGTACCCATGACACTCACTTGCAGGTCTGACAAATCTTGCAGTCAGGGCACTGCCAGCCAACACGCTTGGAAGGGGTGGGCACTATTTCCAGGCAGGCCCCGTGATAGTGCTGCCCACAGCTGGTGCAGAACAGCTGGTCTGAGACGTCTCCAGGGCTGTCGCAGATGGCGCATTCTGCTTCTTCGCCGACTGCGAATGGTACATGAAAGGACTGAGACTCACCACCAAGTGGCAATAAAACACCGAAGCAATGGCTATGCTGTACTTTGGCAGGAAACTTAACTCACAATCAGAACATCAATAGTTTAATAGACCGAACCCATCATACATCCAGGATCACTTTGTGGGAAGTCAACAGTACATTTGAATATTGTGGGCCCTCCTATAAAAATCTTAATTTCCAATTAATGGCTCAGGGCCAACATTGGAGTACCACCAAATGCTTGTTTTTGGCAATGGGGACATTTTAACTTTTGACTTGAGCTCAGTTTCTACCATGCACGTATTAACAGGGCTCGTGTGCATTAACTCACCAAGCTCAACAGCTTGCTCGAGATGATCTGGGCACAGGAGCGTCAATGATTGAATATCTTGGAAGGTACCAGCACCAGCCGCACAAGGGTAGTGGTAGAACTGACGGCACTTCTCCTCCCAGCATTTGATAGTGGCCCCCAGGCGCCGGCAGTAGGCGCACCGCTGTGGAGGAATAGCCAATGAGACAGAACATTCAATTACTATACTGCTAGTATTTTGAGCCTTAGCAATTAAGTAAATATAATATTTGTAGGTATATCTGTGCATCTGACCACAATGTGCTTATAGAAGAATGATTGACTTGAAAGGTCGAGTTCAAATCCCATAAGAGTGAAACAGCCCATCATCCTTCCAAAATCACAAACATGAATGTTACCTAGGAAGTTAACAGGGGACATCCTGTCATTGGAATGTGGAATCATTGCCACCGACCTAGACTGCCAAATTAAGGTAAACACCACTTAAGACTCATCTGAGGGAGGAAATATTCTGACTTCCGATTTGTGCATTAAGTTGTGTTTGGAAACCATTGTGCAGAATCCACTAATTGGAAACAGTAACATTCAAACTGCATTGTTAGATCACTAACTTACTTGCTGTACCCAACTATTATTGGTATCTTATTGCCCTAGAGGTCAGTATCTACACCATCTGGATATTTGGAAGCTACTGGACCTATGCACTTTTAAATCTAGATTGAAACTCAATTATTTAGAATATATTTTTGTATTTAGTTTGTTGTCCTTCCCCCGCACCTCCAATTAGCACGGTTGGCTACATTTGGTGCAAAAAGAGTTCAACATACATAACACATGACCTCAGCATGCCCCATAAGCCTGCCTCAAAGTCCTTGTGATTCACACATTTTTTTGTATATTTAAAAAAAATTTTACTAAAGGACAATTGATGACAACAATAAATCAATGTCCTTGAGAAACAATAAAGTAATTTTGCACAGCACACACTGGAAAAGTCTAGCACAATCAAAGCCATGGCTAGAACAATTTATCATGGTTTATTCCACACACTGATCATTGAACACTTTGCCAACATGACCTTCAAGCATATTCTTGGCAAAACAAGAAGGTGAAAATATCTGGCATCTGGTTTTGGAAGCCCTGGCCAAAATCCACTACCACAGGGCTGCACTCAAGGATTAAAGACAACGTATAGAAAAAACCATGCAGTGATACAGACCACATTAAAGTTCAGTATAATCACATCGCTGATATGATTATACTGAACTTTAATGTGCTGAATTACTGTATTTCATGATGTCATATGTAAAATTGTATACATATTTAAATAACGTCCCGCCTCTGACCTCGTCATCATTCACTCACCACTGGGTACCAAAAAACAAAAACTTGTAATTTTCATTATAAGGTCAGCCAATTTTATATTGGCATCCTCTAGCATTACCTTCTTGAACATTTAAAAATAAAGAATGTTTGCAAAAAAGGGTTTACTGTTTTGGAAACTTTCTTGAGTTATGGATTATGTTTGCCAACTTAAACATTTGTAAACGATAACTACAAGTGGATACTACCACTTCCTGATTACGTATTATTTATTTTAAAAATATTTAAATAAACATCAAAGTGATCTAAATTCATAATACTACACAGTGGAAATTCATGAGTGGAAAAAGAAAATAAAGTAAGTTTTAATCTGTAGTGTATGTCTGTCTACGATTTAAAATAAATGTCTTTCCTGAAAATGTAAAGTGACACGAAAATGGAAAGGAAAACGTTCGCTTGGCATTACCTGCGTGAGACCCACAAGCACAGCTTTGTCCACGTTGAGCAGCGCTTCATCCTCCGCCATGCACACTCCCTCGGACCAAGCTGCACAGCAGTGATGGGCCCAGCAGTGTCCTGGCAACACACCACACATTCCAATTTAATTGACATTCAAACAAAATATACACCGCATTTACAAACACCATACATTTTTACTAAAAGTTAAGTTTAAAATCCACAATAACCACAAAGTTATTTGTTTATGGCGCAAACAGTAATGTGTCCACAGGTTCATGGACCATTAGAGTACTTATATAATGTGTGCACAAGTAGGGGGTCTTTTGGATAATCATATGGCTGGGTGGTGTGATGGCAAAGGAACACAACTTACCAGTAGATGGTCCTGAATAATAATCCCAGTAAACGGCTGGGTCAGTCCATTCTTCCAGGTTTAAAATATAATTTTTACTTTGGGTTAAATCAAAAGTGATGATGCTACATTGAAATGTTTCCTGCCTAAGCAATGCATTTCCACAAATGACTCGAGAGTGCTTAAGAAATTATAATAGGTTTTCCCGACAACAAACAGGTGTTAAGATGTTAAAACACCAAACTGAAACCTTTTACAAGGAATCATGTCTGCATTAACCACAATACTTGTGGTCAGAATGCAAACAAAAAACACTGATAATATATGCATTGTCTTTGAAACTGATTGGTCCACATCAGAGACAGCTTTCTTTTTAAAACCAGAGACAGCAGTGATAAGAATAACAGCAAGTCATCTGACATGGTGAGACAATGGGAATCATCCCAACTCAGCAGGCATCGTGCCAACACAAATGGGAGTCATCGTGACAAACAGGGACATAGAGGGAGTCAGCCCAACAGAGCAGGATCCTTCACAACATGGCAGCGTAGAGTCATCGCAACACAGTGGGACACTAACCGTCCTGAGAGAACAGGATGCTACTCACTACATCGTTGTCATTAGTGACAGGACACATGGAGCAAGGCGAAGGTTGGTGCAGAGATGCATGAGGTGATAGACTTGATATGTAGCGTTATGGAGAGACAGGAGATGTACAGAGAAAGGGTGTTAATAGTTTATATTTAACATGTGAGCAAAGTCTGAATTATTTTGTTTTCAACTGAGAAGATGGTTTAAAAATTAAGCAACCATTGGAAAGATGTTCTAAATCGAACCAAACATTAAACTAATTTTTCAATGGTACAGTATATTTTTCAAGTAGTGGTACCCCAAACTTTCGCAGCTTCTTAAAATCCCCTTTTCACACCACCAGCATGTGGATGCTACCGTGCCCCCTCGCCAGCCTGCACAGGTCGACCCCCTCCCTACCTTTCATCATGCTAAGTCCGCCTATTAAAATGCAAATTTCTATGCTAATTCCTTTTGTCAAGGCACCTTAATTACTCTCACACAGCTTAAAGGTCGCGGTCTGAGCTTGGCTGTGTTTCACTCGAGCGCTGTCCTCGAGACAGTCTGGTCCCTTCACCTGATGAAGGCCGCTTGTGTTGTGGCCGAAACGTGATTTTTGTTGTTTTATTCTTTACCTATGTGACTTTACCGAATAGAACCAAAGAGTATGGATCCTTGCAGTCACGAAAGCTTCAAATCTAAAATTGTTTTGCTTTTGTTAATTTTTAAAACTATCAAAAATCTGCAGCATCTAGTGCCCCCTGCAGCACATGGCTTACAGGACACGCATGCACATAGTAGGTAGCAGTATGCTCTGTAGCTGTGTGGCTCCAAGAAGCCCCATCTCTCGATATCCCGCTCTGTTTTTACATCTCTTTCGCCCCATTTTACACGCTTTTATTTATCTCACTCTGTCTGTTGTCGTATCCTCAAATCTTTTAACTCAATTTTAACCCACTTCCCAATGTCGTATCGACCTGCAAACTTGGTATACATGTGTCATACTGATGACAATACTATATTATATCATTAAAAATAAAATATACAAGCAATCTTTTTTATATCTTATGTTTCAGCTTGGGTCTAATTGTCCACGCTCAACTCACGTTGGCTGTAAATCACCACAGTCCCTTACGTTATGGCAAGCTTCGGGGCCACTTCCTGGAGTCGTGGAGTTCTGCCATTACCTATACGGTACATTTCATTAAAGCGTGTTTAAAAAAAAGTATTTTTAAATATTACTTATTTACACCCCTCTTGCTTTATTCCACTCCAATTGAATGTTCAATGATTATTCCTCAGAGAGCATCAACACACCTCAATGGTGAGCACAGCGCAACACAACACTACAAATAGTTTAAGTTTAAACATTAAACAAATTATAAATTAATAAACTAAACAGAATCTAGCTCCCTGAGTAGGGAGTGAGGCGGGAGATGGATGGACGCAAGATATGAGGAGCGAGACTGGAAATGTAATATGGGATAAGTATGTAGATGGGAGATGAATGGAGTGAGAAATTAGGGATGTATGGGGTGAGAGGTGGACACAGCACAGACGAATAGAGGAGAAGCAGTGTCGTTTATGATACGTAACTGACATTCCATCATGGAACACACATCGTAGTGTCTCATTTCAAAACGATCTCTGATTAAGCTACAAAACCAAACCTCCTGAGTACTGGATTACATGTACGTACTACCAATTGTAAGAATCATGACCACATTCAACATTACCAAAAACACAAATTAGAAATCAGCAATGTGTTGTTTATAATGCTGAAGGACCACAAACTTCCACTCGTCCATAAATGTCAATAAGAGTCACAATGCATCTAAGTGACATCTACACTGTATGATGCCGGGAGTCACTACCATCAGAACTGGATAGTGGTGGACATAAGTTTAAATTATAATGTACTTGCATTGTATTGACAGCCCAGCAAAAGGATCGAGGGTCTCGTCACAATGGACAGCCATTGACTACACGGGTATAGACGCAGTAAAAAAAAGTCTAAGGGTGCGGCTTGGATAATGGAGCTGAAGCGCAAAGAATGTATTATTAATACGAACCTTCAAGTTTATGGCATTTGCAAAAAAATACAGCAGCATGAAAAAGCAACCAAATTTCCATTTTAAGAGGGACTTTGTAGCTTGCTTTTAGTGGCCTGTGCATCACAAGCAAGGTCTTCAAAAAAATAGTACAGCCTGAGAGACTTAAAAACAAATTGAGAAAATAAATGTAACAAGAAATAATAACTCGAAGAGGCCTATTAGAAAATATACATTCATTAAATCATATTAGTCCGGCAGCACATATATGGCATACATCCTGAGCATGTTAGTGAGAAAAATATGTTTAGAAAAGAGGTGTTTACTTCTTGGATTGGCATATTTTTAACACATATCCATCTATTATTCACTCAAAAACACTTCACATTAATAATTAACAATGCCTTATAAGGGAAATGTACATATGAGGCTGCCATTTTGGGCATTTATGAAGAAGGCCCACTGCCATAAATAATGTCAGCAAACAAAACATTTTCCTATTAAAGGAAATACAAAACAATGTTTTACCAATAGTCAGTGTTAATGATTAATGTGGTGGGTTGTTTTGTTCCTGCACACCACTGCCTAAGGAGTCAGTTATTTACTTGGGTATCACTTGCAAAAGAGAAAACAGTTATCCAGGGATAAAATCAGAGAACATTAATTGAATGCATAAAATAGTTTTTTTGGGTTAGATCGCGTAAATATATAAATGTGTCATTAAAACCCGCCACCACCCGACAGCCAACTAGTAAGGGTTGTCACATAAACATAACATGCCAATTCGTCACTAGTACAGCACACCAGTGTGTTGGAGAGCCAAGCCACAACATTTACAATCCGAGTACGACGTTTCACCAGTAATTACAACTAGCTTCATCAGGCAGCAGCCAGATTTGTGGAGAAGTCCACCTGTTTTGTTCCTTATATAGAGGCGTAGATGTGGTGACAACACTTCTGCGCTCTTGCACAAAGTTGGGGGGGGGGATTAATGAGTCAACGTACATTATGCATGTGCATTATGCAAGCCCTTTGATCTTGTCCTTCCTGCCTATTGTGTGTATGAAAATAGCCGTACCAACTTCAGTATGCGTTTTCTTTCGGTAAACACTGTTATTTTCCCATTTCGACCCCATAAGAGCAAAATATTCGAATGCAAAGTCACACCATCACCCCGCACAGAAATCTGCTCTTATCAAGACGCTCATTCATCGAGCTTAGAAAGTGTCAGATGGTGACAGTCTGAGAAGTGAAATTCAACATGTTAAAGGGCTGCAAATGATGGTTAAAAATTATGCACAAATCGACAGAGCATTGAATGCCAAAACCAAATCAAATAACACGAGCATTGAAACTTCCAAGTAATTAAAACGATAAAAATACCGTACATTGCAGGAGTAACTGATAAACTAGCCAGATGTTTGGAAAAACAACACATCAGAGTCAGATTTGGCACGGTACACAAAATACAGAAATGTATATCTGGTACAAAACATATATTACTGAAGCCATCAACAGAAGGTGTGTACAGGATTAACTACACATGTGGAAAATGTTATGTTGGACAAACAGGAGAAATGATCAGCAGGAGACTAAAAGAACATCAGAGAAATATTTTAGTGACTTGTTACATCACTACCGTGCAAGTCTGTACACACACATGACGTCACTACGTGTGTATGTGGGAATAACGTCACGGCCGGGTCGGGGAGTCTGGAGGCTGTCGGTCAGTGCCACGGGGGTTGTGTGAGGCTGTGGCACTCTGTATGAACCTGGCCGGACACGTGACCGGATCAAGGTGGGGGCTGGGGGACCTTGGGGGCCACGTGGCCAGGAGCAGGGCCTTCTCGAGGGTTCGAGAAGGTGGGCGTGGCCTGGGTGTGGCTTGGCCACGCCGAGGCGCATATAAGCGGGCTCCGCACCTGGTGCGGGGGCTGCTCGGGTCCAGGATGAAGACGCCTCATTTAGAGTGAAGCCAAGCCTCAAGTCAGCGTGGCCAAGCAGTAGCCCTCCTGGCTTGGCCACACCAGTTGTTATCCGAGTGTCAGTGTTAGCGAGGATAGGTCGGTGGTCACCACCCTAAGTGCAGTGTAATTACACGTTGTGTTAATACATAATGTTGCCTCCCTATAACGGTGTGTGCCAACAGTGACACTCAATTTATTTTGATAATATTGAAGTTGTGTAAAACCAGCTACTACTGGCCAAGACTAATTCGAAATTTAAAGAAATAAAAGTAATTTTAACCGTTCGGATAGCTACCGCCTTAGTGCTGCGTGGAAGAGAATCATCAAATAATACATTATTTAAATGCATGCCTATAAAGGGTACCATACTTCAATAGGGATTACCGTTGGTAGGCTATTTTAATACACACAATAGACAGGAAGGACAAGATCAAAGGGCTCGCTTAATGCACATGCATAATGTACGTTGACTCATTAATCCCCCCCCCCACTTTGCACAAGCGCGCACAAGTGTGGTCACCACATCTACGCCTCTATATAAGGAACAAAACAGTTCGACTTCTCCACAAATTTGGCTGCTGCCTGATGAAGCTAGTTGTAATTACTGATGAAACGTCGTACTCAGATTGTAAATGTTGTGGCTTGGCTCTCCAACACACCAGTGTGCTTACTAGTGACGAAGAGGCATGTTCTGTTTACGTGACAAACTTTACTAGTTGGCTGTGTCGGGTGGTGGCAGGTTTTAACGACACATTTATATATTTACGCGATCTAACTCAAAAAACCTCTATTATGGATGATGTTGGTCGAGAAAGCCTACGTGTTAAATTAATTGAATGTCCAGATTTAATTGAACGAGTGCTACCCACACAGATGTCTGGCATGGATGCCACAGAATTTTCTCCAGTCTATGTCACGAACATTACGAATTTAACATTATTCACCTCGTTCCACCCCTGTAAAAACATAGGAGAGGCAAATCAAGGAAGGCCATGTGTGGGAAATATCACCTGGAAGTAAGACAACTTCACTATGGTCAATGAGATTTTAAATCCACCAACCTCCTTATCTATGAACCCTTTGGAATCAATAGATAACAGTGATTAATTGTGGATCTCCAGACCATCTCAAGTGTTAACATTCATTTATGCTTGTTTGCCCAAGAAAGTCTCTAGATGTTTCAGGGGGGTGCTGCCAATTTATTGCAGTGGGGTGCGATGTAGCTACATATAATCCCAATTGTGTATTTTGTTGGCAATTTTTTGGCATTGGCATGTTTGGGTAACACAAGTTACATTGTATGTTTTTTGTAAAACTGAATTCCATATGAAGATCAACTTTATTATCTATTATTTACCAACTATTTTACCAATTTATATCAGTGAACACTGCCTGGTATGAAACATTGACTAGAAATATGGACACTGACAACAGAAATGAAACAAAATCTGGAAAGTGTGCAAAGAAGCAAGGTAAGAGGAACGTGTGCATCAAAAGAAACACTTCGAAGATATCAAAATAACTGTTAAGAAAAGTAAGGGGGTTTCAGAGAGGCCGCATTGCAAGGTTTGATGGCGAACAAATGACAGATCACCAGGAGATGTAAGCTGATAGTCAGATCCTCAGTGAACTTGTAACATACAGTATGCTTCCGAAAAACCATTAGGAAGCGCATGACCACGAGGTCGAGAGTGGTATAACGGAGTCTTTGAAAAGTGTTGACAAGGTTATCCAAGCGCCCTTTGTGACGTGCCATCTGAGGCTATAGAGCAGTTTTACAGCAGCCATTACAGACGAGAAAACTGCAAAATTCAGGCATTAGAGGTATAACCTGCAGTTTCCATGAACCCCCCCTCATCCTTTATGCCTAAAGTGATTTCCAATTTGCGTAAAAATTGTATATTCTCGTTAGAATCGACTAATGACTATTGTTTCATGTTTTCGTTGTTTATTCAGCTCCCTTCAAATAGCTTGCTATGTTACAGTGCTAGACAAGTTGTGATTATTTTTTATTTGTTTGCATTATTCTCAAATTCCACGTTACTACAAATGCACTCCATAGTACAACTATTGTTGAAGCCACAACTGGTCCACAGTTTGCCTGTTTGCAGAGATGTTGCTGATAAAACATTGGTCTGGAGGACCCATAGGCTGATTGTGACTAAATAATTTTAATACCTATTTTCTTGACCCTAGAGAAATTATGGATTGAGTTAATGACAACCAATAATTGATCTCGGAATTTTGCACCAAAAGCTTTGACACAGCGTTTGCCTAATAATACCATAGGAATAAAACAGGAGAAATACATATATGAAATAAATATATTTCTGTTATATGTGCACACCATGGGTCACATGGAGGATTTTCCAAATCACACTGAATTTGTGAGGGAACTTTGGGATCATACACAAGTACAGAATATTTGGCAGTGTCACCATAACCACTCCCCAAAGTAATACGCATTTATAGCATCTCCATGTCAAGTTTTATTTAAAACTCCAAGTCATGCAATTGGCAATACCCATAACAAACCAAAGTAACTTCTATATGCACACCAGGCAGAAAAAAGCCATTACAATACATCAAATGAATAAACAAAAAAAACACTGCACAGCACAAAAACTGGAAGGCAGAAAATCCTTTGAATCACAACAACACAGCACACACGTTGTAGAGCGTGAAACCGACTGCTTACAAAACCACCTACGCTCGAGAAGTTCACTGCAGAAATACACCATCGAATCTTCCAACTTATTTCAATACAGCTCTTAGTTTTTTTCTGTATATGCAATAAGCTTCCAACTGACACAAACCGCTATATTTTTCACCTGATGACGATTGCTTGTGTTGCCATCGAAACGTCATGATATTATTTTAATTTGTATTATTTCTTCTATCGACGTGGCTTCACCAAAAGACCCAAAGAATATTAATTCCTGCAGTCACGAAAGCTTTAAGTCACAAATCACTCCTTCAAACTGGCGTTGCTGACTCCGTGTGTGTGGAGCCTCACCCGTGGTGTTGAACAGGATCTGTGTGTCCACGTCGTCGGGAAGGCCCACGCGGCTCAGCTCGTCCCACAGGTCGCCCACCCCACGCAGCTCGTTCTGTGGAGGCCCGGGCGGCGTGCGCTGCGGGGACTTGCACTGCTCCCTGAGCCGGAACCAACCAGAGCCACGCAACGCCACCGGTTGAGCGGTCAGAAGGGCTAGTAGCACACGCCTCCATCCTACACACCCATAAGCGCTCAAAATATGCACATGGGCATTTACATCCACATGGGCAGTAATGTAACCTCACCTCAAGTTTAATAGGCAAAGGTATTTTTCGAGCTAATGAATGGAGCAGCTCAACTTTTCAACAAACAAAAAAATCCCAAATTTTGGCTTCATAATGAATATAAAAATGTTCACGATTGATTTTGTTCGCAAGGTTGATTTTTTCCTAGGTTTTCTGCTTTAGCCCTGAAGAAATTTCAAATAAAGTAAATGGAGTCTACATAACCTGGGTGAAAAATGATTGACCGTCAATCACATCAACAGAAAATGCAATCAAATCATCCCTCCTGAAATATCATCGACAAGGTTCAACTGTAACAAACGACAGGATAGACTAAGTCCCTTTTAGCAAGTGATATTTACCCACAACTATTTACAAAACTATCCACACTCCACCACATATATTCTGGCTACTCTGCATGCAAAAAGAGTTAATTTAATGAAATAAAAGTTTGCATGACTCGTGTCAGTGTACAGTCTTTGTGCTTCTTGACTGTAATGGCTTTTTTCTAATGTCTGACGTGTAATTTAGTCCATCTCCAATAACAGTAATTAGAATAGAGGGAAAATAATGTTTAAGAAAATATAATAGGTTTTCCCCTTTTTTCTGGCAAAAAACAGGTGTTAAGATGTTAAAACACCAAACTGAAACCTTTTACAAGAAATCATGTCTGCATTAACCACAATGCTTGTGGTCAGAATGCAAACAAAAAACACTCTGATAATATATGCATTGTCTTTGAAACTGGATTGGTCCACACCAGAGACAGCTTTCTTTTGAGCCTCGTCTCAAACGATGTTAGACCAGAAGACGCCAAATGGCGTACAGCCCAAAGACAATGCACTATCAGAGTAATGAGAGCAAGGGGTGAGCATTCTGACCACAAACATTGCGGATAATGCATACATGATTCCTTGTAAAAGGTTTCAGTTTGGTGTTTTAACATCTTAACACCTGTTTTGTTGCCAGAAAAAAGGGGAAAAATCTATTATCATATTTTGGTACTGGCAAAGGAGGTCCCATGATGTAGAATATAGGGAGTTCACTCAACAATGCTTCACTATCGAGTAGACATGGCCAAAGCTGTTTTACTCTAATCATGGGTTTTCCCCGCATTCTATTCAATTGTATGCAAGGCAAACAAGCCCTCCTCCAATGCATGGGAAAGATGGCCTGTGGCTGGATAGAGTTCACCTGTCATTATTCGTTAGGGCAGAAATTCCCCACATAGAATCACACAAAGTTCAACTCAGTAATGTGCATGAGTGCACAGGGACATTGGACAAATGCAGGGAATCTCTTCCACAGCTCAGTGAACCAGGTGGTGTATATTACTTTTCACTGTACCTATATTCATGAGCTATATATGCACTTAAATATTCAACTAGTTCACACTGTTACCATGGGAAGGTATCACCAAAACCCTTTCAATGTCTTTCTTGAGTCAGAGAAGCTTTTATTTGTAAAAAGGCCACATAAATGTAATGTATTGTGCTCAAAATATTGGTGATTTCTTCAATGGTCCAGTTACAAACAATAAATAGTCCTGACAGCAATGAGTTAACATGCCAGTTACTAAATCTTGACTTAAAGCTTTCGTGACTGCAGGAATTAATATTCTTCGGGTCTTTCGGTAAAAGTCACATAGATAGGTTCAAAGAAAATAAGTCTGCCTCAGCAGCTTTCCCACTTTTTTCTTCCTGACGACGAACGCTTGTGTTGCGATCGAAACGTCGTATTTTTTTGTAATTTTCTTTGAACCTATCTTCGTGACTTTACCGAAAGACCCCAAAAATATGCCAGTTACTACCCTACACACGTGTATGTGACTGGTCTCATTCCTAATGTTTAATTTCTAAACACAGCATTGGAATGTTACCTCTTCAGTGTCCAGGACAGGTCACTCTTTAAAACTGGACCACTGGTGACACCCAAACGAAACATGCCATTCATTCACTACACTACAGTTGTAACAGTGTTTGTTTGTTGGAAGTGGTACTGCTAGGGAATTAATTTCACAAGAAGAATGGGCAGAAGGACTGTAACCAGGGAAAACGATGACAATGAGTTGAGTAAAGGCCAGATGATGTACCAAATAAAATTTGCATGATGTTTTATTTCGGTAGTCACTGGCAGCCTCAGATCATTAGCTTGCCACACATAAAAGCCTGGTTTAATATTGTGTGGCTGTCTAGATCTGAATGCAGCATCTCAGCAGTATTGGCTCAGTAATCTGATAAATGACACTGGCCCTCTTGAGTAGCCTAACCACCTCCTGCAGTTTTATTTTAATGCCAATGATGGCAAGGCTATACATTGTCAAGGTAAGCCCCAACGGCCATTGTAGACCCTGTGTTAATCACATTGCAACTTGGTGATCAATGTGATGGCATGGTTAGGAACTGGCTATTCTGAGATCACACTAATCATGTCACTTCTCACATTCAGAGACTCTTGAGTTAAAATCATGGTTGGGGGATCACTCAGTCCATCATACCTCCACCCCCTGGAGGACAAGGTCAATGAAATTACTATCACAATGTAGTAGGAATAAGCTGTTTCCCTGCAAGTGTGTATGTTGAACTTCTTTCACACCGTACATAGTTAATCGGATACTGTTCCCTACTAGAGGAATGTACAAGCTCTAAGACTAGCTCAGGACCGCTAACGGTAATGAGTGCCACTCTCATTCGAAGTGGGGGGGGGGGGGGGGATGCCTCATTTATTTGTTTTGCCTAAAAGGAGATTACAAAATAAAGCCTTTGATGGCTTTTCAAATTATCCAACTAAAAAAGATTCCACAAAAAAACACAAACACACATCAAAAGGCCACAGCGCACAATACTGTAGTGGAAAAAACCCTCTGGGCACGATTCAGGCAGACATTCACATGCATTGGTGCACACTCGGGAAAGAGAGAGCTTGTGTGTTATGGCATGACACACACGCAACATCATAACATTAAAAACCTACCGCTTGTTGCCCCGCCCCACTCCCGACTGTCGAGGGCTCTTCTCCCCACCGGCCAACTCTGCGGTGTCCAAGCTGCCGCGCTTGCAGCGTGGGGGGGTCACCTCCGTGAGCCCCCCAGCCCCTGCACTGTCTGAGCGGCGGGTGCGTGCAGCGGGTCGCTCCGTGTCCGAGCCCTCGTCGCGCCGCGCACGGGGCGAGGAGCGGCGGTAAGACGGCATGAAGCCGGGCGTGGGTCCGCAGCATGTCAGGTCGCCCTGGCCCAGCAGGCTCTCCCCACCACAGTGGCAGAAGGCGCAACGGTGGCCCAGGGTGTCATTGCTGCAGGGGGAATTCACACAAATCAGCTCCACTTGAGTACAATATTTCCTCGTTAATCGCGAGGGATACGTCCTGGAGACGCTCGCGAATAGAATATTTCGCGGATCGTGAATTACTTTAAATAAATATGTAAATAAGCGATGAAATACATTAACGTTATCTCATCACCTTCTCTCCCATCATTTATACTCTCTCGGTGTAGTCGTGTAGAGTTCCAAATGCGATTGGCGGATAGCCAAAATTGTGGATAGCAAGTTAATGAAAAACGAGGGAATACTGTTCACATTTTCTAAATGCAGCTGTTGCTTTTGTGGTCGCATTTTCCTTCCATGTGATTTTATGTTAAAGAGTAATCCTATGGATGACAGTGGGTGGTTTTGTGAGTGTGCATAATGCAGGAAGCAAAAGCACAGGTTACTGAAAAATGGTTCCCTTTTAAGAGAGAAGCTATCTATTGAGAAAATTGCACTGCTGTCACTTTGCAAAGGCATACTTTGAAGATATTTACTATGAGCCAAGAATGTCTGTGTGTCCCGCGCGTGACGTCACTCCACGTCAGCCAGCCCCCCTCATTCATAATCATGAAGAGGTGACGTCCTCCACATGGATCCCCCCCTCATTAATAATTATTAGCGGGTGACGTCACTCCACATGTAGCACCCCCCCCCCCCTCATTAATTATCATGAGCAGGTGACGTCACTCCACATCGAACAGCCGCCCTCAATAATCATGAAGAAGTGACATCTTCCAAATGGACCCCCCCCCCATTAATAATACGCCTCCTCCCCCTTCCTGAGCGTCAACTTACAACCCTCACTACAAAGGCGTCTTTTATACAGGTAACAAGCTGAGATTAGGAGTACTCCCTTTAAGAGTGCTCCTAATCTCAGCTCGTTACATGTATAAAAGACACCTGGGAGCCAGAAATCTTTCTGATTGAGAGGGGGTCAAATACTTCTTTCCCTCATTAAAATGCAAATCAATTTATAACATTTTTGACATGCTTTTTTTGTTGTTATTCTGTCTCTCACTGTTTAAATAACCCTACCATTAAAATTAAAGACTGATCATTTCTTTGTCAGTGGGCAAACATACAAAATCAGCAGGGGATTAAATACTTTTTTCCCTCACTGTAAGTCTGTGTCACCACGGCCTTACAAATTGCACACGAATTGATGCAATGAATATCACGTCGCAGTCTGCTTTTCGCTTGCAAATTTCAGATTTACTGAAATACACCCATCCTTGGACGGTCAAAAGGCTAGTTATACTATAAATACCAAGCCAGAGGTGGAAATTAATAATGCATAAACTTTTAAACTTCCGTCATTTGCCAGAAGAGAGTAAAACTTTTGATAATCCATGCTAATGTCTGCTGAGGGATGAAACACTTCTCAATCAAGTTAATTATTACAGCATAGGCACACTTCAAAGAGATATATGGCACAGAGGACATTTTGCTAATACTGTATGCCAGGAATATATAAAACAATCCAATAATGAGAAGAAAATGTGTTAATAAATTCAAATTGTTGGAAAATATTTGAAAAAAGTTCTACTTTTGATAAAATATTTGCATCCAGCAAACATTAATATTTTAAACAAGCAGTCTCAACCTTTGAATGCATTTTTTTTAAATCCAATAGTAAGGTATTGTGTTCCCAAGACAGCCTTCATGACAGATAGGAATACTTTAAGAAAACAATGGATACATCCTGCCTGTAACACTCACAATACTCATAAGCACCTCCTACTGTGATACTACTGCGGACTGTCTGTGAAACATGGCACCTTTGTGACCTCCTGCGCTATAACAATGACATGAACGTATTAATTACTAATTATTGTACTTGCTCGATACGTTTCCTATTGCTGAAAATTTCCCAGGGAAATGTACTTGGATAATGGGTTTTGGTATATTTTCATGTTTTTATTATTATTTATATATCTTATGTTAAAGCTATTTCCATTACAGTTGTCAGATTTTATATTCTACACAGTCTTGGTAAATATCTTTGTAATATTTTCCAGATCTCCTTTGCGAGATAAATATTTATCAAGGGCTCTTATTTGACTCATGAAAACTGCATCTATAGCATCCTTGTCTGCAGGGGTTGTCACAATTTTTGATCTGGAAAAAAAACAGTGATGGTTTTAATTAACAGTAAAACTCGAAACCTAATCGGCAATCGATTATGTATTTATAACCAAGTAAACCAAAGCGAAGTCTATGCATATTTAAACATGATTTTTGTATCGATTATTTGTTTAGAATAATAAGGCTGCATATCTGAGCCTGTGACTACTGCACGACGGCTAACATTCAGTCTACAATAATTGTGCGATCTTGGCAAAGAGTGGGTAATAAAATAATTAATTAATAATGGGCAGGTGGGTCTGTTTCATTGGCAAAACATAAAACTATGTTTTAATCCACCAGGCACTGGACCTTCAAAACAACTGTTTTCAAGCAACATCATCTTGACATTCTGAGTCTCATCAGCAAATGTTGCTGGAACACATCAGTTGAGAAGGCCAACCAGTTGATGAATATGAAGCTTAATTGAGTTTTTGCTGATTAAACAGCCAAACCTCACAGAAGAACATATCAAAAGCCTCATGAATTTAATTACATCAGGATATCTAAATGAGCATGAGGGGGTAGCAGATAAGAGGCCATACAATTATATTTCACTAAAACACTTAGGCAGACTTGGCAGGGATACTGAAGAGTGCCCAACTATTAAAGAGCATTTCATTGTTCTAAACCCAGTCAGGAGTTGCCTCATCATCCCACCAATCAATAAAAAACCATACCACAAAGTAGCAACTCAACAGTTGTCAGCCTGTGTACACGGGGTCTTTCCATTGTAATGGTGAATTCCATGACCTGCTCAGGGTCACCAACGGAGGTGTTGATTTGTTAGATCTGGTAAATCAAACCACAGCAACTTACTGCCTTCAGCATAAACCTGCAAATAAAATGGTGGAATGTCTTATTTATAGATGCTGTTGTCTGAAGGAATATCAAATTAGCCAAATGCGTTATATTATTTTAAATGTGCGTATATTCACACATTTGGTCCTTCCTTGGCAGCATTGGTGTGCATATGCCACCGTGCTGTCTTTTGCCATGACACACACCACATGGCCCATCCGGAGGGACTAGGATGGCACTGCAATTTCAGCCCACGCCTTGGCACAGAAATAAAAGAACAAATTCTCCTGCTTTCAAGTTGAACTTTAAATGTGATTACAGAAGCAGAGCAGGGGAAAAAATGGGTACGTCAAGGGAACAGATCCCATATTTAGCCCTTCTGGCCGATTAAAGCCAGCAAATTGTATAAAGGGAGGTTTTAGCCAGCATTATGCCGAGCAACTTTCTTCTTCTCAGAAAAATAATAAAATATTGCACCAGCTTCTAAATTTGATGTCAACCTACCTAGGTAAGACCGAGACCAGGTTTTAATCTAACCCTCACTGGTAAGCTTGGCCAGGGATTGAACTGAGGTTGCCCAAATGGTAGTGTAATGTGATAACCGACATTTCTGACAAATACAAAGCACATTACAAAATAATAACTTACTGCTGGGCATCAATTTATAACCAGGACATTAAATATATTAAATTGATCTAGAAATATATTTTTGTTACATTTAACAACGTTCTTATTGGCTTTCAGTAAATCTATTTTCAGCCTTTTGTTCTCTCCTTCACAATTTATCCTGAGTTTAACAAAGGAAAAGTCACGAAGCCACTCTAATACATACCTGTCAACCCATAGTTTACCCGTATTCTTGTACAGGGAATTTGAGTTCAGGTCCATACGACATACAGGCGTTTCAATACGGCATTTTTTTTATTTTTGTTTGTGTTTCCCACTTGTGATGGGACTTTGTAGGATGAACTTTGAGATTTCTAAGGGCACGGAGTGACCAATAAGGTCTGAATTGGTCTGTAATAAGGTAAGCACAAGGCGTTTACAGGTATGCAAGTAAGCCAGAATTCTCGGTAATCAGGAAAGGCTACTGAAATAAACAAAAACTATGCAGAACACTGTATCTGCACTAATTAAGCTGTGCACGGTAAGATATGAAATAAAGCTCCATGCTAATCTTGTGTAAAAAAATTATAGATGACCTTATTAAAAATGCGAAGTAGAAACACGCCAACCGTGACTACTGCTGTACAGTCAATACAACTGGCATATATGTGTACTCGCCATTGGAAAGCGATACAGTAAAACCCTAGCTCGCCGGATCCTGGAAAACCAGATTTTACATTTGAACACGCCAGGTCGCTGAATAAATGGGGAATGGAGGAGGGGGGTGGAGGAGGATGATGGGTAAACACAGCAGACCAACTGACGGAGTTAGCTATAATAGAGAATACATAGAGAGTACTTTGGGTTTTTGGTTTATATAATTACACACACTGATATATTCAATACACACTCACATATACACGGAGTTTATATTGTTACATAGGTTTTTATTTGTTTGAAAGCTTGCCACTTTTCAACTCACCCGAACAGTACTCTCGTTATTCCGGCGAGCGGAGGTTTTACCGTTTGCAGTGCACTTATGAGACACTGCATCGAATTCCGTGAGCCATGCTCTTGAACAGGTCCAAGTGCCGTTTACTGCTACCCATCTCTCGTTTTTTTACATGTATTTTTATCAATGAACTATATAAATGATTTAAGCTTGTCAGAAAATATCTCCAGCCTTTCACATCCAGTTAACCTCAGCCATAATCCTCTGCTACACGGTGACAGTAAGCCACTTCTAACAAACTGTGCAGTACACGATGGTCATGCAATCGTCTCGACCTGCAATTACTAAATTAATAGTTCATAAAGCCTGTCTTCGCCAAGCAAAGGTTTTCTATAAATATAATAACTAACTTGATGATTTTCTTTTCGTTTTTCATCTATGTTCAGACACTAACTACTCAAGCATTTAAATTTTTCCACAAAAAAACGACAAAAAATGTTGGC